CCTACATCCAATCTAAACCTCCCCGCTTTCAACCCGTTACCCCTTGTCCTGTCACTCCAGGCCCTTGTAAAAAGTCCCCCCCAGCTTCCTCATAGCCCCCTTCAGGCACTGGAAGGTGCTATAAGGTCTCCCCGGAGCCGTCTCTTCTCCACACTGAACATCCCCAGCTCTCCCAGCCTGTCCCCATAGCAGAGGGGCTCCAGCCCTCTGAGCATCTTTGTGGCCTCCCCTGGACCCACTCAAGCAGGTCCATGACCTTCTTACACTAGGGGCCCCAGAGCTGAACATGTCACTGTTTTAAAATGATGAGAGACTGCGGTCAAGCAGTGGGGGAATCTTGGCAGCTGGGAAGCCAGTGGATCTTAGCTGAGCTCAGCCTCTTTGCTGAGGGCTCTGCCCAGTTAGTACTGAGGGTGTGAGGTGGAGTGGTTGAGTATTCTAACTGGTCTCATCTTGAGGGTTGAATGTGTAATTCAAACAGCCTTGTGTAAAGCTTGTGGGTGGTAATTACACCTGTTTGCATTCTGCAGATTTTTCTTCAGTGGTAGAGAGAGGTTCCTCTGTCGTTTACAACCATGATAGTGTGATTGTGCCTGTGCCGCTCTGCTTGTTTTGGTCAGCCATGTCGGGTTCTGTTCTGGGCTTTAGCCGTGCTCTTTCATTGCAGGGACCGTCACTGCCAGGGCAGCCTGGCCAAGGAAAGAAGATAGGTCATCGAGGTGTTGATGCTTCTGGCGAAACCACCTACAAAAAGGTTTGGTTTTGGGGAGTGGGGGCTGGCAGCTATGTGTAGGTGGCAGGCTGAGAAGTTGGGGCCTAGTAGCTACCAGTCTGATTTAGATCTTATGCAGCACCCTTGTACTGCATAATCTTGCAAACGTCAAACCTGCAAGCCTTAATACATCTCTTCAGCAGCTGTTTGAACTCGTTTAACAGTCTTAGTGCCTGGGACGACCCCACAGAAGTTATAGACGTGACTGTATTGTAATATAGGGGTTAATCTGCTGTGAAATGCTTACTGACTGCTCTTTTCTTTCTGCCAGACCACCTCATCCACTCTGAAGGGGGCCATCCAGCTAGGGATTGGATATACTGTTGGCAATCTGAGCTCCAAGCCAGAGAGAGATGTCCTGATGCAGGACTTCTATGTGGTGGAGAGCATTTTTTTCCCAAGGTAAATGAGACGGGAAACAAAACAAACAGAAGAGTTACTACCTTTCCTCTCACTGATTTTTTCAGGAGAGCTTCCTTCTGTCTTTAGATCGCAGAGTTGGATGCTCTGAATGTTTTAAATGTGCATCCATTTACATACAAACATCACAGTGGGAAGTGTTGGATTCTGCAGTACACTGGCTTGCATGGAAGTACAATGCAAGCTGCAGTACTATATGTTTGAGTTTGTTAGCCTTCCTGTGTGCTTTTCTTTCGACCTGTCCGTCTAGAATTTCTTCCACAAAATTATACCGTGTTTGAGATGGAAAGAACTCGTTCTGGGAGCTCTTTAACTCTGAAGAAACAAAGCTCATAAAAGCTATCTTCTCTGTGTAAATATGTTCTGCTTGGCAAGTGCTTGTTCCATGCACTCTTTGGAAATATATTTTGGCAGAGAATTTAAAACCTATTTTCCTGTTGGCCTGCCACAGAAGAAAGGTGGTGGTGGTTGTTGCTGTTCCTAAGATGTCTTTTTGTAGGGCTCGATCATATACTGTGTCTTGGATGTGACCGTACATATCTGGTGAATAGAGGAGTTCTGCTCATGTAATGTCTGTTCTGTGCAGTGAAGGAAGTAATCTCACCCCGGCTCACCATTATGCTGACTTCAGGTTCAAGACCTATGCACCAGTGGCTTTTCGGTACTTCCGAGAACTCTTTGGGATTCGTCCAGATGATTATTTGGTATGGATATATCTTTTTAGTTTCTCTTTCCTCCTTTATTTGAGATGGTTTAGAGCAACACAAGAAATTTGCCCCTGAATCAAGGCTGTAAGCAGTTCTTGGCTAAAAGGGACAGAAAAGAGTTGAGGAATCGTTCTGATCCCAGTAAGGAGTGGGAACAGGCTGTGGATGTAGGGACTCTGTCAGTTTTGGAGGAGATCCGGCGACTGTCCCAGCAAGACCAGCACCATTCAGCCCAAGTTTTCATTTGCTAAGAGTCAGCTGATAACTTATACTGGAGCGTAAGGAAATTACCTGCATACAGTGTATCTTGTGTAAGCTCTGCGATGGGGTTCCTGCTCTGTTGCTTGTGGTGACAGTAACTACTGTGTTTACAAGCAAAAGGGGTTGTGTTCTGCTGGGTGCAACCCTGTAATGTCCCCTGGGGCTCTGAGGACAAAGATAGGAATTTTTCCTTGTGTACTCACTCAAGAACTATGTGAGTGTAGTTATTTTAATCATCTTACAAAGACAGAAAAAAATATAGCTTGTTCTTGTGCTCAGAAAGCTCAGAGCTGGAAAGGATGTTTTTTAACATACCTACTAGTACAAGCTATCAGGGCTTGAATTTGGTCCCTTCAGTGTATGTGATGTCCTGCTCTTTAGAAAAGGACATTTGTTGAACCAGGGAAGGGAACACATCCAAATGAGTGCATGCCCCTCACCCTTTTTGAATAGCCCTTTTTTTCTGACTTCAGCTGTAGACAGGGCTAATCGTAGCTGAACACCTACAAGTAGAAACAAATCTGTGCCATTGCAGGGTTTGACAGTAACAGTGGTCCCCATCTGTGTAATCCAAGATAATGCTGGCTGATTTGATGAGTGGTTCAGAACTTGGGTGAGGCAAAGAGCCTGCCTCAGTTGCCAAGGTCACGGCTCTGATTTGTTGCCTCTGTTTCACCCGATTCTCTCTTGCCTGCCACAGCAGCAAATGCCTTTAATTATGCATGAGATAATTAACTTGATAAAGTCTTGGGTCATTAATCTGTGCAGTGCTGAAAGCTGTTTTCAGTATGTAATGATGAGCATTTAATTTATTGCTCCAATTATGTCCCTTACATACCCTACCTTCCCCACCCCATCTTACCTCTTGCTGTGGCAGCTCTGACGTGATGCTGCCCTGAACCCACTCAGCCTGTGTAGTTAGCATGGGCTTGGGACCTCACTGCAAATGTGCGTGCTTGTGCTTTCTTCTTTTTTTTTTTTTTTTTACCTGCTGCTAGGCATGTCATCGTTTGAGGACCTGCTGTTTGCATGCTGATGTCTAGAAATGTCCTCCCAGTTCAATTCCTGATGCAGTACCCCTTGCTGTGCTTACACAGCGCTGATCCCCCTCTTCTTGTTTGGACACCTGGTCTAATTTTTTCATGTGCTTCTACCAGGATTGAGGGGGTGAGATGTGGCTGTAAAAATCTTCTGTAACAGGAGAGCACAAAGCCAGAGGAGGCTGCTGAGAACAGCCAGTGCATTGTGTTCCCTCTCGCACAGTGATACGTGGTACCCTGAGCAGACTGTCATGTCTTACAATTTTATCTTTCCATCTGTGCTTGCAGTAACGTTCTGAAAGAAGCCTGAACGTGATACATGCACAATGGGAAAAGATAAGATGTCATTATGAAGCCTGGATGTTACTCAAAGCAGATTATTAGTTTGATTCTGAGCAGTTGGGATGCTCTGAACTGTAATCTTGGTCTGTAATTGTAAATTGTCCATCAGCTTTGTTTGCTGCTTAGACCTAACCTATAATGAAAATAATTCTCACTTAAGCTTTGCTACTCCTTAATCTCACAGGGATACAGCATGCTGGGGAAAGCCCTTAAGGGACTAGAACTCAGTGTGCAATGAGTAGGGGCTAAAAACATCATTTTTTTCTTTTTCTCCCTAGTATTCATTATGTAATGAGCCTCTGATAGAGCTGTCCAACCCTGGTGCCAGTGGCTCCCTCTTCTATGTCACCAGCGATGATGAATTCATCATAAAAACTGTGATGCACAAGGAAGCTGAATTCCTACAGAAGCTCCTTCCTGGCTACTACATGGTGTGTATCACTCAGCGTCCCGGACCTGACTTGGGTTTATCAGGCCAGCTTTTCTGCCCAAAGCCTTGCACAGGGCATGTCCTCTGCCTGGATTTCTTGTAGCCTGTCTGCCCTGTTCCAGGGACGATGTTAACAGTGTACCACAAAGCCAGGCCCGGAAGCACAAATCCTGCCAATTGTTTGCAACTCCATGGGTAAACTTGAGGCAGATAACTGTGCCATAGCTTGTAGGCATGTTCTGGCTTGCAAAATGGCTTCCCAGATGAGTGTTTCTGGTTGGTTTTCCTCCAGCACAAGTTCATTGTTCTTTGCTTGGCACCATGCATCTGCCTCAGCCTGGCTTTTGAGGATGGCTATTGATTGCAATAACACAACCACCTTGGTCTTGTGGGGAAACCACTGCTGTCCCTGGCTGTCTCCCATATCTGCTGTTCAGCACGAGTTACTCTAAAGGCAGCTGCTGGTTGTCCTGGCTCCCACTGGCTGCAGCACCAAGCTGAAGACTCCCATGGTACCAGCCAGCTTTGTACACCCAGCCTGCTGCAGGTAGTCAGGGCTAGCAAGGCAATATACTGAGACCCAGAGGACTTGCATGTGGTGACAAGTAGTAAATCAGAACCATATGCAATGCTTTGGTGTGTAAACCAGGAGCTGTTTCCCTGCATAACTGGTGAAGGGTCCAGCTCTATAGATGATGGCAACTGAAATTTATTTAGAACCACACAGGGATTTGTTTGCCATGGAGATGCCGAGGAGAGGGTGATGGCAAGCAGTGTGAATCCTGTCCCATCTGTGTGCATGTTTGCAGTGGATTAGATTTCTGCCATCATACACTGTTTTTATGAAAATACTTGCCTCCCTCAATATTTACTGGGGAAAATTTGCCACAGTGAGACAGGGTTTTGGGTATATATACTGACTTGCTTTTGCAAGTGACAGCCAAGTTCCTGGACAAGATGAGCTTTCCTGAAAAGCTTTCTATATTGTATGTAGTAAGTCAGGTGGAGGGTTTTGAATGGGAACAGAGGTGCACTGTTGTCCCGAATTCTGCACTTGTCCTGGCTAGGAATCAGTGTAACAAATTAAACTGAACTTACCTGTCTGGTGCAGAGTTATGTGCTGCTTGTTGTAGCATTCCAATGTTTGAGGGTTACTGTGGGGCTACCACCACCTCTGTTCTTCCTGGGAAACTCGTCCATTGTAAAAGGAGCCAGTGGAAAGGAAGCAGAGGAATTTCATCCTCAGTTAAAGCTGGGCAAGTGCTGTTTGCATTCGGTCTTGTCTGCCTCTTGCTTTTAGCTTGCACCGTATTGCACAGCACACTCACAAAGAGGGCTCGCTTGTCTGCCGAGTCAGGTGAGATGAGGAAGGTCATGAAATTTTAATACAGTCAGGCTTCTGATGTCTGTCAGAGAATGGCAGGTCTGTCCTTTTGTAGCCTGCAGAGATGTCCTGTTTCCTTCCCAAAAATTCCCAAAGCTGAACAAGCAAACGCCTGTTACGTCACTCCTGATAATACTGCTGCCTAAAAAAAGGACATGATAGCAGAGCAGGATATCCGTGCTCTCTGCTTAACTATTTAATAAAGCAACTCTGCACAAAAGGAGAAAATTGATGTTGTTTTGTTTAGAAAAAACATCATGTCCCTGGTTTATTCTGGGCCAGAGAACGGCTCTTGATTTCTGACACTTCTGAAGAGATGAAGATAGCTGTTATTTTTAAACTTTAAGTTCCCACTTACGGTGTTTATTTCTCTTCCAGTTTGGTTTCCCTTTTTTAGCTGCTGTTGATGGGGAAAGCGGGGAATTTCCGGACTTGGTTTTTTGCCCAGAGTGTGCTGTGTACAGCTCATTCCCTGTATTCAAGGCATAGTGGTGTTTTCAGGTCCTAAAGCCACTGAAATGCAAGAGTTGGCCAAGTGTGTGTAGTAAGCTTTCATGCAAAGTTCAGAAAATCTCCAGGTGAAGAACCCCTGGTCTGACTGCACCAGGGTCTAACATGCTTTATGTTGAACACCACAGCAGTCTTCTGCCAAAATTATCTTTGCCCATGTTTTTTTTCCAACCCTGCTGCAGAATCTGAACCAGAACCCACGGACACTGCTGCCAAAATTTTATGGACTGTACTGTGTGCAATCAGGGGGCAAAAATATCCGCGTGGTCGTGATGAACAACATTCTGCCGCGTGTTGTGAAAATGCACCTGAAATTTGACCTAAAAGGCTCAACCTATAAGCGGCGGGCATCCAAGAAGGAAAAAGAAAAGTCCAGCCCTACGTACAAGGATCTAGACTTCATACAAGATATGCCCGAGGGCCTGATGTTGGATGCAGACACCTTCAGTGCACTGGTGAAAACTTTGCAACGAGACTGTCTGGTAAGGAGGGGCGCAGTTTGGGGAGCGGGTTAATAAAATTCTGTGGCTCTAGATCATAAGGAGGAGCGAATGGTTGAGAACTTTGCTAATCTGCTGACCCCAGAGCAGGATAAATACCTTCTATTGCCCTTTTCCCTGAAAGCAAAGCAGTGGAGTTGGATCTCATGACAGCCTCTGAGGACTAAGGCTGCGTTCCTTTGCCTGGTGCATCAGGTTGTGGCAGCCTGCGCCACGGGTAGCTGGGCTGTTGGGACTAAAGACAAAATGTTCCTGTATGTTTTGAAGAAGATAGATGATACAACAGTGTTATTTGCAAGCCTTCAGCCTTTTGGGTTGATTGTGGGATGGCCAAATTCTATGTGATCAAATCCAAAGATCACTAACAATTCAGGAACGTTCAAGATCTGGCAAAGAAGCTGTTAGTGGGAATGTGAATAGGCTTGTTGCATGCTTTGGGATCTGTGCTGTATTTGAGCTTCTGGCCTGATATTTTGTCTTTGTTCTTAAACTCAACACTAACTTGTAGGTGTTGGAAAGTTTTAAAATCATGGACTACAGCCTCCTGCTTGGGGTTCATAACATAGATCAGCAAGAACGGGAGCGACAGTCTGAGGGAGACCACAGCACGTCGGATGAGAAGCGTCCTGTGGGGCAGAAGGCACTTTACTCCACGGCCATGGAGTCCATCCAGGGTGGGGCTGCCCGGGGGGAGTCCATAGACACAGACGACACGTAGGTGAAAAGCTGGTTCCTTTGTGCTGCTGGGAGGGAAGAAGGTAGAGGTTGGAGTGGTAAATCCCTAACTGAGACCCATGTGAGCTGTTAGAATGAGCATTTCCTGCAGGTTGTGGTATTCCTGCTAATAAAGGAATTGTGTGGGGTGAAAGGTGGAAGCTGGGGTAGGATATATTTCTGTAAGACTCCAGCCTCATAGCAATATCTCTTCTTAGGCCAGCCTATAGGTTGTCAGCTCCTGTAGCAGCCTCTGAACATCCGCCTGTGCTGTGGGGAGGAGAAACTAGCTCAGTTCTAGCTGCTCTTTGGGGGTTGGCCAAAACCTGTGCTGTGCCTAGTCTATGGCTCTTGGGCTGCAGGTGGCTCTTGTGGCTGTCTCCCCAGCTTTGGGGACCAAGCTTGCTAGCAAATGGTGGAGTTAGCTGTTTGTTGCTGTCAGAAAGCAGCTGCTCCAGTTTTGATGGAGGTTCAGTCATGGTGGAGACAGGATAATACTTCAGTGTTTGCATTCTTTCAAGTAGGATCATTAATTGCAGTGGCCTGCCTGCTACCTGTGTGCTGTTGGTTGTGTGCTAGTGGTTGCTGCGATTACCTGCCTTGGCTTCCTTTATGCTAGTTGGTGCCAATGACCTTGTTATTCATAATGCCTTAACTGAAACAGTTGAAGTTGATGAAAGGACTATCAGTGGCAGGACTGATATTGGCGTGGATGGGACCCAACACCCTCATCCTTAAAGGTCTCCTGCCCTAATAGGCAGACAGCTCACGCTGACCTGATGAATAGTCTGATCCCCAGAATAAAATGTCCTGTAGGTAAGAAAAAACCATGTGGTGCTTTGTGGCCCAGGCAGAGCTGTTGCCACATGCCACAGGTCCTGTCCAAATAGCTGGTCTTTGGTGGTCCAGGCAGGCAGTAACCCCTGGGGACACCGTGTGAGAGATGGCCTGCGTCAGTACGTGACTTCCCACTGCTGCACACAAAGTGGCTTTGCAGGTTTTCGCATTGTGTCTGATCACCGCATCAGAGCCCTCTTTCCAGTGCTGCCTTCCGCAGGTCCCAGGGGTGTTACAGCTGCTCTTTTTGATGCTGCACTTCGTAAGGTTTTGTTTTACCTGCAGGATGGGAGGAATCCCAGCAGTGAATGGTAAAGGAGAGCGTCTCCTGCTACATGTAGGAATTATAGATATCCTTCAGTCATACAGGTAGGTAACTTTGCAGTCGTTTGTCCTTTATGTTAATATTTACTTTAATACTGAATGAAAGCAGGAAGATTTTCCTCTCCTTTAGAGTTTGATAATGAGTAGGCAGGCTGCCTAAAGCTGTCTGTCAACGCACATCAGGGACTGTGGATTTTTATCCTGTCCTTAGACCAGCTGGTGACAGAGAGTCGTTTTTCTAAGGTATAATGAAGTCTTTATGAAGAAGCTTTCTGTCTCTGTGCCTAGGATGGGTAGCATATCTCCGGGGAAGGAAAATAGCTTTCTGCCCCACTTCCAAGCCAGCTCCTCCTTCCCTGTAGGGTTCCCAGGCAGTCCTGACCTGGCTGCAGAGATGCCAGTGTGCTCAGCCGACCTCTCTTGGCTGGGTGAAAAACGCTACGCTCCGGGTGAAGGAGTTGTTAGCAATTCAGTCTGTCCTGTGCAGGGTATGAAAGGTGGCTTAGATAGAGTATGTGCCTGAATCTGTCTCTTTTCTTTTTCTCTCCACTTCTCCTCTGGCATTAGGTTCATCAAGAAGCTAGAACATACCTGGAAGGCCCTTGTCCATGATGGGGTGAGTGCCTGCACAGAGGCAGGAATTGCCCAGGCCTTGGCAGGATTACCTGCCTTGGCTTCCTTTATGCTAGTTGGTGCCAATGACCTTGTTATTCATAATGCCTTAACTGAAACAGTTGAAGTTGATGAAAGGAATAGTTTTTGCCTCTTTATGCCCCCACAGCAATGTAGTGCCCCTTATTCCCAATCAGGTTTTCTTGCTCACTCCACCTCCTCGCATGTTTAGCTGTCGTGCTACCAGCCTTCCTCCTCAGCTCCCATCTGTCATTTTCCTCCTTCCCATGATGCCAGGAGCTGTACGCATTCATGTATGTGTTGAGGAGCCCTGTGTTTGCTCTCTTTGGTGATTGATTGTGTTTCCACTTCAGCAAGCTATCTGTTAATATATCCCTTTCAGTGCTCCCCTGCTGTCTTGTCTTCTGCAGCAGCCAGGTGCATGTTTATGAAAGAGCAACCTTGGATGTGGAAACCGTTTTTTTAGCATTGCATATCCTAGCTTCCCTTAAATAAGGTGGCAGAGAAATGTGTAGCTGACGAGTCATAGTGGTGTAGTCAAACATCAGAAGCAGAAGACAGCTTCAGTTTTGCTATTTAAAAAAAAAAATGCAAAACGTTTGAATTGTATAGAAAACTTTGGCTGAATTTTGATGTCCATGGTGGGCTTTGAATGTCAGCCAGCAAAGCCAGAAGAAATCTCCTATGTGTAATCAGGCCAATATTTGAAAAATCCAGGAAGTCTACAAAGGAATAAAATCACCAGAATCCATTATAAAATTACAGCAAGAATATAATCAAATGCAATCAAATCAAAGGCAGTGCTTCAGGCCTATTTATAGCATTAATCAGATCATTTCAGTAAAGACTTTCCATTTTAAGGCTCTATCAGTGCTAAATGTTGGAAGAAAAAAGACTGCATTGGTTGTTACAGAAATTCTGCCTTGAGGGATAATTTTAAAATTAAACAATTGCTTCTTGCCTTTGTAGGACACAGTGTCAGTACACAGACCCAGCTTTTATGCAGAGAGATTCTTCAAATTCATGACCAACACGGTGTTCCGAAAGAATTCCTGTAAGTACCTACTCAAGAGCTGTTGCCCCTGTGATGTGGGAGAGGCAGAGCCTTATCTGCATCTTGCTGCTTCACTCCACGTGGGGTGTTTCTGGGCTGGAGTTTGAGCAGGCTTTTCCACAAAGCAATAGAGAGCAAAGCTGGGGAACTGCAAAACCCCCCGGGTTGTCACGGCTTGCTTTGGGTGGCTCAGAACCAGGAGCTCTCCCTGCAGCCTGACACAGGCTTAGTCCTTCAGAGATGGCACTTGCAAAGCACGTGTGTGTGTCAGAGGACAGAGGCCTC